TAAAATAAACTAAGGAAATACTGGTTTAAAAAAGTGTCAATTGTTAAATTGACAGCCTTTTCGTTATTTTCGATCACCTTCTCCCGTTTATACTTCAGCACGCTTCACCATAACCATAATTTTTGTTACATGTCACGCAATACTGCATGAACATATACTTTCAATATATTAGCATATTTCAACCATTGTGTTTAAGCTTTACCTATCTAATTTAATGACTTATGTGGTCCTGGCAATAATAATGATTATATATGTACTAATTTTGTATTAAATAAGATAACGTTTTACAACAAAAAGCATTATTAATGTGCAATAGTTATAAAACATTAATATATAAAAGCAAATAAAAACTGTATTTTTTTGTAATTTGACATATTTTGTTTAAAATCTTGTATTTAATTAATGAACACAAAATACTTTTAAACAGATTGAGTTAATATAAACTTTTTTTATTGAATTGCAGACTCATTTCGCTTGACGTAAAAACTTTTATCATCATTTATAAAATTATAAGCACAATTATAAAAATGAAATCAAACGATAACATTTATTGCTAATTTACTACCTTTAGTGATATTAATTGCAAAGGAGTAAAAATTGAAGAACTAAGACCATAAATCTACTTATAACGTCTAATGGAACATTCATGTCACGCAAGGTTCTTAAAGGTGAAAAAAATGAGATGTATACTTTAAAGGTCATGTAAGCATTTGCTTATATATATAAAATATTACTGAAAGAATTCAATTTGGTTATCAATGGTTCAACTAACAATCATTGCAATATTATGCCTTTAGAATTTCCTCTATTGAATTGCCGACTCATTTCGTTTGACATAACTTTTATCATCATTTATAAAATTAAAAACTCAATTATAAAAATGAAATCAAACAATAACATTTATTGCTCATTTCCTAACTTAAGTGATATTAATTACTACTAATTTACTATACTAAATTTAATATATAATTTGATAATATTGCTGCACTAATTTACTACTCATAGTGCTCATTCATATTGCATTAGATTTTTGACATTTTTCTCCTAAAATAGTATGGAGTTTGGATTTTTTTGAAAATGGTTCCCATTTTTTTTTTATTTGATGAAATCATCGGAAGAAAATAATATTTTTTTTCTAAAATAAACTTGTGCTGAAAAAGCTAAAAAAATTCATCTGAAAATTTTAAATACTTTTATTTTAACCGAAAAGTCATATTTCTTTCGATCCCACCCTCTCCTTCTTACAAAATAGAAAGTTATTTGACTTCAAGTAAGTTTTTATTTTCGTTTCTTGTATGCTTGAAGCTCTGCGTTTTTAAATTCCAGATAAGCAGATCTTCAAAAAACTTTATCGTGTCTACGAGCCATTTTTTAAAATGTTTGGTCTGAGTTCTATGTAAAGCCAATAAAATGTACAGTGTGAAGGAAAAAACGTAAAACCCTGATTAACTCTTGATTTAATGATTGTATCTTCACGCATGATCTACGACTCTGTTTCGAAGGTCGGTTTCAAGGGTGTAACTTCAAATATGTTACTTAATTGGTGCAGACGATAATAATCATTTTTAAGTTACGAAATCAGACACAAAAACGGACTTCTTTTAATAAAAATTTTCAACAGATTTACAAATCTGACGTCTAAAACATGGAAGGTAGCCAGACTTTCACCCTTATAATCAGGTCAAATAGTATCAGAGAATTTTTTTTTTTTTTAAAAAAGTTTGTATTTCAAAACCGACTATTCGACAAATTTTTCTCGAAATTTGGCTTTGAGATAAAAATTACATTCTTTGAATTGAGGTAAAAGATTTTTTTGCATATTTGAGGTCACCCTCTCAAACAATTAAGATTGACTCCAAGAACTTGAAGATTCAATCATTAGATCAAAAGTTATTTAGGGTAATTTTTTTAGCACACTGTACTACACTGTACTTCCTCATTCTCTGGTTTTTAAATTAAAAATAATAGTTTTGTTAAAAAAAATATGCATAATCATACAATGCAAGCTTAAAATTCCTGTAAAAGGAAGAAAAAGGGCAGAGGTGGTTTTCTAGAGCAAAATGTCTGAATCCTTTGTTATTTACATGTTCTAAACGTAATATTTCAGCCAAATGAGGAATGGTGAGAACTGTATTCTATCAGTCGTTGAAGACTGCCTAAATGAGGAACAGAGAGCTTTAGTGAGGGGTCAACTTAGGAGTCTAAGGAGCAGTGTGCGTGAATTATGTGGTAAGATTTTAATGACAAATTAACAACGAAAACTGTGTGTCAGATACTACTGATCGCAGTTGATTTAATTGGAATTCACAAACACTAAACAGCATTTATAAACTTAAAAGATTTTTTTCGTAAGAAATTTCATTTTAAACTATTGCCCAAAAAAATAATATTTTAAGTCTATCACTATCATAAAACACCTTAAATTAAATTATATCCTGGAAAATCATAATATTCCTTCAAAGCTATGCCATTATAGTTTAACATGTTCTGCCGATCATCCAAATAGAAGGAATGCTGAGGAGTAAAAATAGAAGAACTAAGACAATCAGTTTACTTATAACGTCTAATAGGACATCCATGTCACATACGGTTCGTATGGGTGAAAAACATTAGTGTACTTTTAAGGTCAAGTAAGCATTTGCTGATACACCGAAGAGCCATTACATTATGACCACCCTCCATCTATAACAATGGGCTTGCCCAGGTTTTCATGGTTTCTCACCCAGGAACAATGTTTTCACGGGGCACATTTGGACCCATAATTCACATAGAACAATCCCTGACGTCTGGAAGCTACTTGAACATAACAGACCAGGTTTACCCATTCATGGCAATAGTTTTTCCAGCGGGGGATGGTGTTTACCAACAGGATAATGCACTATGTCGTAAGGGTCGAATCGTCAGGGATTGGTTCGAGGAACATTCCAGTGACTTTCAAGTCATGTCTTGACCCCCAAATGCACCTGACCTTAATCCAATAGAGCATTTGTGGTCCTACTTGGAAAACCTAATTCGTGCTGCCACGCTACCCCCTCGCAATGTGAGGGAATTGCAGGACCAGTTGGTGAGCTTTTGGTACCAGATACCTCAGACTACCTATCAGCTCCCTGTGGAATCAATGCCACGGCGGGTGCTAGCTGTTTTGAGGGCTAAAGGTGGTCCTACATGTTATTAGCAAGGTGGTCATAAACTAATGGCTCTTCGGTGTATAACGTCTAATGGGACATCCATGTCACATGAGGTTCGTTAGGGTGAAAAACATTAGTGTACTTTTAAGGTCAAGTAAGCATTTGCTTATATATGTAAAATATTACTGACAGAATTTAATTCGGTTATCCAACGATCAACTAACAATCCTTGCAATATCATACCTTTAGAATTTCAATGTTTACTTGCAGGATTTAGATCAGTTTTTACTTGCTACATGCTAGTTTTTTCTGCTTCGGTACGAAATCTGATTCAGATGATCAAACAATTAAAGTTAAAAGTCGATTGGGCTTTTATTCTGCATTGGTATCAATTCTAATTAAGGCGAATAAATGATTGAAGTTGAAAGCCAATTTCTATTTTATTCTTCGTGGTAATGAAATATAATTTACTTGATCAAACAATTCATGGTAAAAGCCAATTGCTCTTTTATTCTGCAAGGGCATTCAGCTGATCAAATGATTGGAGCTAAAAGCGAGGGAGAATGAAGAATGATATCAGGGGTGATTTAGAGTAGTGTCTTTTAAATTTATATTAAGTTTTCTTAACTTTTAAAGTTTTTGTCTTTCTTCTTAGCTTACTCGAAATAGAAGACAATGTCAATAAGAAAGCAGATGTATTATTGCTCTATATGCTATGTGATGTTTACATGAAATTGCTTTATATTTTTCCTTGCAAACTGATTAATATTATATAAAATATTTTATTTTTGCTAATTTAATCGACCTTTTTGTAACAATAAAAACATTTGATGAATTTCTTCGATGCTCTTTTTTACTGTGCAATATGCATTTTGATATTTAAGCTCTATTTCAAAATTTATTTCATTGTGCATTAATTCTTATAAACTTAATCTTAGCTAAGTAATGGTTAGTTCCAATACCCAGCCTATATATATACTGACGCTTATCATTCGGGTATCACAGAAGCACAAATGTTAATCACTCTTTCAGGGGTTACATATTAGGTATGCCAATGTTACCTCCACGTTAAAAAGGAGATATAATTCAGAGTAGAAAGAAAGTACACCCAGGCCTCTGACTAGAATTTGAATTCAGGGTTGTTCTGACATAAGGTCAGCTCCCTGACCACCTTACATTTGGTCGTAAGGAAATCATAAAGATAGAGAAATATACTTAAAAATGAAAAACTATATTAAATATTAAAATATTTTCTTTCAAAAATGTATGGTATACTTATTATTATTAATTTAAGTATGAATAGGATAGGTATATTAAATTAAGTTTTAAATACTTAGTCTGTACCTGTCATAGCAAGATAAAAGTCCCATATGATATGAAATTATGTAGGAAATGTAAAACAACTCGATTAAATGATCTTTGTTGCTTGAAATTGATTCAATTTCCTTTAATTTTGACAATATTATTTGGCATCACTCAAGTCAATATCACAGAATCACAAATATTGAAATCAATTCAGAACCACAAATTTTGTATTCTCTTTCGAGCCATGGCTACAAATATATATATATATATATATATATAATAATTCAAACAACCCTATTGGGGTGATTAAAGCAGTTTTTGGAATGTCACTAGGTTCAACAGGTATCTGGTGATACGCGCGTTTTAGATCCAGTTTTGTAAAAATTGTTTTTCCATGTAATTCAGAGGCAAAATCCTGAATGTGTGGTATTGGATATCTGTCCGGCTCCGTGGCGCTGTTGAGCCGGCGGTAATCCCCACAAATACGCNTATATATATATAATACACACTCTAAATTATGTATATAAATTTTGATAAAATACTGAAAACAATGCTTAAACAGGGAAATTGCTCTCTCTGAAATACTTTATTAGTACGAAAAAAAGTAAGTGTATTACTTTAACACAATGTGATCCAGCGTCTAATGCATTGGAAAACTTTTTGTACAATTTAATTATTTATTTTTTTTAATTACAATGAAAAGCTATAAGAAAGTTAACAAATGTAAAGCAACCCTTCAGACAGTTTTATGACATATAAATATAGAATTCTTTGAGTCTAGAATAATTTGGTTCATGAAAAAAATGTGAAGAATTGTGAGCTAGAATATATTTTACTATATGCTAAAAATGCTGACAGCTAAAATTTATCAATTATAGACAATGATTAGACAAAATGGCTTAAGTTTAATTATTTTGAAATTTAAAAAAAAAAACATTTTTTAATCGCATATGTGAATTTATTTCCCTCTAAGCTACGTTTTTTTTTTTGTAAAAATCTCATTTTCAATCTGTATTTGGAACTTTGATCTTGGGATATGGAATTGGAAACATTACTAGGGAAAAGTTGGTTGGAAAAATGTATTCATTTTAAAAAGTGTGGCTTATCACTTTATTGACACAAGTACTTTAATTTTAGGACACTAATAAAACCAATATTTCTTTAACATTTAATATGATGTTGTACACATGCAGAAAGAAACTATTTTAACTCTTACGGTTATTATAAATATAAAAAAACCAGTAAAAAGGCTTTCTATTTCTTCTTCTTTTCGAACAGAGATTCGAAATTGATAAATTCAATTCCATAGGATGAATTTTGTTTGTCACACAATTGCTTTATTTTTTGTAGAGTGCCTTCTAATTTCTCACTCATATAATCATTGCCTTTTTCTGGACACTTATCTTCAGTTCTTTCTGTGATGCATTGAACGATCAAGTTGTACCAACTAAAAGTCAGATAAAAAAAAACTGTCGGTTAATTTTTTAGCTATTTAGGGACAGTCGGTAGGGCATATATCAATAATGCTAAAACTGACTTTCTTCAATGTACTTCTTCTCAGCATATGAACAGTTTTTTTTTCACGGAATATTTACAGATACATCTTTACACTGTGAAAACTGTTAATACATATCTTTGAAATAATATTTTTTTTAATTATGAACATTAATTTTTTAAAAAGCTTCATGAGTTTTGAACAAAAATCTTTTAAGACTGAAAATATATTTCTGTTAGGCTAAAGCATAATGACAGCATACAACTCATATAATCTCAAATATCCCCAAAAAATTTCAAAGTGATATCATATGCAGTTTCTCAGAAAAGGTACATCAAAAAATGTCAGTTTTGGCATTATTGATATAAGCCATACCGACTCTCTTTTAAATTCAGCGAAAAATAGTTCTTTTCTATTAGGAAAGTTTTTCAGTAAATATTCTAATGCTAATAAAAATTATATTAAATAAAATGTTGCAAGGAGATATGTTTTTGCTGCTATAATGGTTTTAATATGAAAAATAATTGGTGCCATGCTTGTTTAAAAGAAATACATCATTCTATGTGTACTTATGTCAATAAAAAAAATTCAAAATATAAAATATATACATGGAAAAACATTTTTTTACAAACAATAATTTTTGAAAGGTATGAAATCTTCATAAATTATTTTGATAAAGATATGATTCTAATTTAAAAGCATTGAAAATATTTAAACCTCTAAAACTTGAAACGTAGCCTGAATTACAGATTATATAATTGAGGGACATATATAGGGTAATTATTCACTTGGTTTTAATATAATGGGTATTATCTATAAAAATAGAATTTAGGGGCAATGTCAGGCGGAATGAAAGACTTATATGAGACAATGTTTTCAAATTTTACACTGTAAAAACCGTCTCTCCAAATTCGATTAAAAGTTGTGAGAAGGAGCCCAAGTCAAAATTCTTGATGGTCAAATCAAATAATAATTTTGATGGTTTATGTTCATTTCAGCACGATTAATGATGGTCCAACATCATTTGATGGTCACCATGATTCAACATTTTCCATTATGCGTTCATGGCTTGTGATATGCCAGCAAACTTCCATCCTTCCATGATGGAAAATGCTACTTTAATACTATTATAGTTAAACATCAAGACAAGTTTGATTCTCATGGACCAACAATCCATGATGATTCGTGATGGTTCCAACTATTGATTTCCTTGATGGTTAAATGAGAATTCTTGTTGGTTTTCAAGGATATACCTTCAAAACAATTTGTTTTGTTCCTTATATTGGCCTGTCATAAATCAGTCCGAATTCCGACATTGGATGATGGGTGTTCATGATCGTGCCAACATTTGTTTTCTAAGAGACTGTGATGGAAATTTCCGATGGTTTAACATGAACAAACTATCGAAACACGTTGCTATTTTTATGTTGGTCTATCATAAATCAGTCCGAATTCCTACATTAGGGTGATGGCTTTTTATGATGGTCATCATATAATATAATGATTCATGATGGAATTATTGATGGCTATCATCAAGAATATGTTTGTCCATCAATGGAAAACCATCAAAAAAAATTTATTTAGGTATCCTAGGATAATTGAACACTTTTTTCAGATTTGCATAAAATAGTGCTTTCATATACAATTTAAACGGTTTATGAAAACTCTAAACTCAAATTCAATTCAAAGTTCAAAAAGTTTGCACCAAGATCTTTAACTTTTTAACTATACGTTAAACAGTTCTGCTTCTTTAAACTCCAATGTTGGCGTATTTTGATTTCCTCTGTAATTGTTTACTATCTATACCCATTTGGAGAATGTTAGTGGCTGTCCTCAATGTTGCTTTTCATCTAAAGAGACTTAACTTCATTGTAAGAAATACTTATGTATGTTTTTAATAGCGTAATGAAGATGGGATAGCCTGGTTATCACGGCGCTGGACTCACGTTTGGGAGAATGGGTATTCGAATCCAACCGGCCGAATGGTGTTTGGCGTACGTTAAATCTGTGTTGTCACAAAGTTCTCCATGTTCACCAAGCAGACTTGTTAATAAATTTGGCTAGTTTCATTAAAATAACAACAACTTTTTTTTACATTTACAGCAAATATCATTTTTTACTGAAACGAAATTTCTTTGTTACTTTTTTTCAATCTTTTATAAAATTTCCCTCTTAATTATATTATTGACCCTTCAATAATATTGAGAAAAATTAATGCCATTTTGTGTTTCACATTGTGTTTGCTTAACTGTGCAAATGAGCTTACGTGCATTTGTAGACTGCTACATCAAGTCTTGCCTCCAGATGCGCAATTACTTTCAATTTGTCTTCGACAAGGCACTGCATTATGAATTCGTTATTTTCCTGCACACAATTTTCAGCTGAAATATTATTAATAGTATAGAGGCTATACTATAATGCTATATGCAAGATGTTTCATAAAAATCGCATTTAATACGTATTTTTAGAATCCTTATCAAAAATAAGAAAAAACAGATAACGCAAGGGGGTCACAAATTGATGTTTAAGTTCAGAAGAAACAAAAACGCTGTAAAAATCTGACAGACTACAGTAGAGAACAGGACTGTAATTGGATTTAAAATAAATTAAGCCTAAGTTTGAAATTTAAATGTGTTTCTATTAATCATCTTTCAACTCCACTTGTTTCCTTTCGCTATGAAACCGGTCTTGCTGTCGTTTACATTCGCCTTTATGTATTGTGATTTGTCAGATTTTGATAAAGCTTTTGTGTTTTACCTTAGCTTATACATTAATTTGCAACCCCACTAAGTATAACCTCTATTGTTTTCATTATTTACATGCATTCTAAAAATACTGATTAAGGGAGATTTTTATGCAACACCTTGTATTATATTTTAAAAAATGATTTAGAATGTTTTAAAAAAGGCAGATATATAGAAACGGAAAAAATGTCTTGAAAGTTTCAATTTTTATCTTATACAGATTTAGCAAAGAAATCAGAGCTTATTTAAAGATAATCAATCATTACGAAAGAATCAGTGAAAAATACTTTACAAAAATTATAAAAACTCATTCCTTAAAAATAGTTCAGCCTTAACAAAAGTTTTAAAAATCTTACCAAATTTTCTTACAATAATTAGTTAAAATTTAACTACAATTTGTTCCAAATAGTCCTCAATAAAAAAGGATTTCAATAAGTTATTATTTATTTTCCTGTTAAAAAATTTCGTTCGTTAGAGGGAGTTAAAATATAGGCAATAAGATATAAGCTGCAAAGATAGAATTCATTATAAAAGACTAAATATTTACTCTCTTACCCAAAATATAGCCACAATTTTCGTTATATTTGGATATCAGTGATTGAATATAAGGGTCTAATTCTGGCTTCTCTTCATCATTTAGACATTCATTAGTGATTTCTATCAAGCAGTTTATGGGAGCTTCCACTTTTCTGTTATGAAACATATGGCAAAATTAAATTAAAAGCTGCAAAACTGCTTTAGTATTTCAATCTAAAAAATAGAATTTTTCTGTCGAATTTTTAAACTTAATATTTTGAATTTAGTCCATAAAGATTCAATGCAAGAACTGAACAATACAATTATCTGAGCAAGACGGCAGGAAGCTTATAGGGGAGATATGGCATATCATAAGGATTAGGAGTTGCATAGGAATCCATGACGGGAAAACCACTAGGGGAGCTTTTCTATTATGAACTATTTCTTTGTATGACTATGAATAGGTACTTTTATTTATCCAAATTATTTTAATTTCTTGTTTTCTAATGATTAATGTCGAAAATGGTATTCAAATGGGTTCGGTATTAGAGTTTTAATCACAATTAAGACTTGGCGACTCGCAAAATGCTTAAACTAGACAAGCTTTTACAATTAAACTTGAAGACAAACTTGCCAAATCGTTTAGCTAGGATTAAAAATCAAGTACTGAACTTATTTAAATACCATTTTAAATAATAATTATTAGGAAACATAAAATTAAAATATTTTTCTTTTTCTTTAAAAGCACGACAGCCTATTGCCGGTCATGGATTTCAGTCGGTTTCTTCAAGACAGTTTAACTTGTAGCTAGATTACTCCATCTATTCACTCCCAATACCGTTAATTCCTTCTCCACATTGTCCAACCACCTTGTTGCCGGCCTCCCTCTCTTCCTTGTACCCTCAATATTAAGTTTTTAGCCGGATCAGAATCCTCACTACGAAAAACATGTGACAGCTATCTGATTCCGCATGACGTAATAACTCTAAAAATGTTCGGTTGTCTATGTTTATTGTACATTCATCGGTTGTATAAACTTTTCCATGTATCTATTTTCTTCTGCTTCATTAAGCACCCAAGTCTCGCTGCTATACAAAATAATCGATCGAATAAGTATTTTATATAAACTTACTTTATACTCATGAGCACAAATTTAGCTTCTAATTAGATCTTCCGTTCAAAGTAACATCTATTAGCCATTAAAATACTGCTTTCTGTTTTTACTTTTAACTCATTTTTATTGATAATACGTGTGCCCTGGTACTTAAACTGTATGACTCCATTAAATGTAAAATTGCCAAACTTGAATGACTGCTCATCTTTTACTCGGGTGATAACCACCATAATTTTTTTTTGTCGTATGCCTGTTTTAGGCAGTGGGGGTGCGATTGTGCCTGTTTTTCAGTGGCGCCATCTATGGCCTGGAATTCGACTTCTGCCACGCCATTCACACAACCACAACTCGTTTATAATGGCGGGTCACATTCACACACATTCACACACAAAGGAGAAAGGACATAGAACACACAGAGGGAGAAAGAAACATCCATGCCTTGCCCAGGATTCGAACCCAGGACCTTTCTGATGCAAGGACAGTTCCCTGCCCCCTACACAGGCCGGTCGGCCATAAATTTAGTTTTCACTTAAATTATCGTTAAGTCAATAACTTTCGTAGTACCATAGAACCATAGACCCTTAGTATCGTAAACGTGTCTATCACATCCTGTTTCGTTTGGTAAACTACATTAAGACATTTTAGTTAAATAAAAGAATCTATTCAAAGACACATGTAGAAACATTTCCTAAAAGGGAAGAGCCTCTAGCGGCCTACGATGACATTTCCTGGCACAGTTTCCGATGTAATTCTTGATCCTTATGATGTGCCCCTACAAGTTTAGCAGTCTTGCTCAGAATCCCGATTGTGATGTAAGTATTCCCGATTAAAGCTGCTTTTCGTAAGCTCCGCTGTTGCACGAAATAATGCTTTTTAGAGAATAATCAGCTATTTAATAGCTGCCGTGAGTTTGCAACAGTTACTTACGACTGCTATGTTAAGTTTAGTCAATCTAAAGTTAGCGTTGTCTGTGATTAGTTTGAAAATGGCGCATATTTTGAAAAGCGTTTGCTGTCTAATATTTTATTATTTATAAACTTACCCAATGCTACGTTATCTGGGCTTATAAAACTTTGCAAAAACTATGAGTAAGGCATAGATTTTAGTAATTTGAAAAAAATGTCGATAGATTGGTGATTTTTCAAAAAATTCAACAACTTTGAAAAATATTTAAGTTATTTGTCCGTTCTAAGGCCTAGATAATTCTTCATGGCAAGTTAATATACACTCTATAACAAAAAAATCGACGCACCAAGAAGTAATCATCCGATTGCTTTGAAATTTCGTATGCATGAATGTTCTGAACAGATATGGCTGGAATGATGCCGACTGGGGACTTATGGTCCTTAGCGACGAATCACGCTTCCAAGTGTGTCCTGACGATCATCGAAGACGTGTTTGGAGAAGCACAGGGTAGAGGGGGGATCCTGCCTTCACTATTGCACGCCACACCGGCCCTCAACAAGGCATTATGGTCTGGGGTGCCATTTCTTTTGACAGCCGGATCCTTTTGGTCGTCATTAGAGGTACACTTACTGCACAGCGGTACGTCAACGACATCCTAAGATCCGTTTTGCTACCGTTCCTTTTGCAGCTCCCTGGGCTGGTTTTTCAGCAGGACAATGCCAGACCACATACGGCACTTGTTGCCATGAACTGTCTGAAAGCTTGTCAAACTCTTCCTTGGCCTGCCAGATCACCAGATCTCTCTCTCATCGAGCATGTCTGGGATATGATGGGAAGGCTATTGCATCTGGTACGGAATGTTGATGACCTCGTTCGAAAATTAGATCGAATTTGGCAGGAAATACCGCAAGGAACCATTCGGGAGCTTTATCGGTCTATGCCACGCCGTGTGGCTGCTTGTATCCTGGCTAGCAGAGTTGGCCGTTGATTACAGTAATCGATTACAACTGTAATTGATTACAGATAATTACAGCTATGTAATCAATTACTTGTAATCACGATTACAAGTAATCAATTACTTGTAATCGTGATTACAACTTTCAAAAAATTTTGATTACAGCTGTAATCATGATTACAATTTTGATTACAGTAATCAATTACTTGTAATCATGATTACAAGTAATTGCGATTACAAGTAATCACAACAAAAACGATTACAAGTAATTATGATTACAAGTAATCAAAATATATGATTACATGTAATCATGATTACATGTAATTTGATTACATGTAATTGTGATTACTTGTAATCAAACTATACGATTACAAGTTATTACGATTGTATACTATAGTCAAATTTTTTATGTAAGTATTCATGTGTTTACATATTTTTATGTACATAGAATGTACGCACGCATGAACGTACAATTTGCGATTCCTATACATACAATGTATGCACAAACGTTGTTTGTACGTACAATATTCATAATTATATTGTAATATACTTAATGCAATGCGCATATGCTTAGTACATATAATTATGCATTTATGATACATGTACGCATGTATGTTAGTTTGTACAAAAAGGCAATGTTTTGTATCTTTGTATACATAGACAATGTATGTATGAACGTATATGAAAATAATGTTTATGCGTTTGCATGCTTTTATGTACTTAAGTGCATATATTGTATAAATTTACGATAATAGCACGTATATACAATGTACGTTTGTATATAAAATTGTACGTATTTGCGTACAATATGTAAAAATGTTATTTAAAGGTACAATATATGCACATAGTTGCGTAAATAAAATGCGTACATGTATACATGCATATTTATATGTACATCGATATATGTGCACGCAAAGTATGTACTTATGTACAACTTACGTATGTACTTGTATAACTACATACTTTGTTAATACTTATGCGCATGTAATGCATGGATGTACAAAAAAATAGTTATATGCACAATGTATGCATGTGCATACAACGTATACATGTACATAATTACAAGTAATGTACAAATACGTGCGTACATTTAAATATATGTAATTACAATATACACATACATTGTGCATACATTAAAAAAATTTATATGAGTAAAGTTATTAAAATTTGTTTTAAAATTATTCTAAGGTATATGAAACTCGACCTCATATTTTTTAGAAAGCAAACGATAATTTTATTTGGAATTTCTAAATATTAATTCCACACATAAAATTTACCGTTTTTCTTACCATTTAAAAAATTTCTATGAATCATGCATTATGTTATAAAAAAAATAAATCTGTATTGTCAAACATTTCATGAAAATACCTGAAAATAATTTTTTATTCAGAGAATTTCAAAATGATATAGAACAATTAAAGCTGAAAACTAAATTTAAATATCGTTTGATTTTGTCATTTAACTTGCTTGAGTCATTAAAAGTTAACTTACATGCATTTTATTTATTGCATTGTACACATATTTAGACATAAATGTAATGTACATATGTATACGTGTAATGTATGTACGCATGTACAATGTATGTACATACATTCATGTATTGTACGTGCATATATAGTACATATGGATATGCATACATGGAACATACGTGTATTGTACATGTGTGGATACATTCATTGTACATATATACATTGCACCATATGCATAGATAGGGATAGCATGCATGTACACATGTAAAATTTGTACGAAAGAATTATGCCCAATATATTTATGCACATACGTACTGTATATGTACACACATATGTACATTATATGAACATTATATGTTCATTTCATCATATGTACATTATATGAATATACATCTGTACGCTATATGTATATACATCTGTACGCTATATGTATATACATCTGTACAATATATGCATCTCAAATGTATGTACGTACGTTATGCATGTCGAATGCATGTATGAATATATGTGAAATATAAATACGCCCAATGTACGTACAATAGTTCACAAATGTATTATGCATATTTGGATACTTACATTGAGCATGAACATATTATGTACATGTACATAAATACACTGGACATGCATATCATGTACATGTATACATACATATATTGTACATCCTACAGATATACCTATATTGTACATGCATACATATATTGTACTGTTCATAAATAAATTGCACATACATGCATGGGACATACATTGTACAGACAATGTATGTATGTTCGTACAAACACAAGTACTTGTATATACATGCGTACATGAACATAGATATACATTTTACATACACAAATATTTGCATAAAATGCATATATTCATTGTGTATAAATGTACATGCCTACATTGTTTGCACATACATACGTAATTATTATCTATATACATACGTACATATATTTTATACCTACAATATAAGTGTATGTACATGTGTGTGATACTAAAATGTCTGAACATATGCACTAGATAAAATCATATGTACATACATTTCAGTTACATTCATTTGTACGTATACAAATACGTACAAAATGCAGTACATGTTAATACGTGCAAAATGTATCATTATAAAATACATTCTACTATCTACTGTAAAATATAATCATTTATAAGAATACAATAGTCTTGTAATCGTGTAATTAGATTACATGTAATCATAATTACATGTAATCAAATTACATGTAATCAAATTACATGTAATCATATATTTTGATTACTTGTAATCATAATTACTTGTAATCGTTTTTGTTGTGATTACTTGTAATCGCAATTACTTGTAATCATGATTACAAGTAATTGATTACTGTAATCAAAATTGTAATCATGATTACAGCTGTAATCAAAATTTTTTGAAAATTGTAATCATGATTACAAGTAATTGATTACTGTAATCGACTATGTAATCATGATTACAGCTGTAATCAAACTTTGTAATCACGATTACAAGTAATTGATTACTGTAATCAATATTGTAATCATGATTACAGCTGTAATCAAAATATTTGAAAATTGTAATCATGATTACAAGTAATTGATTACTGTAATCAAAAAATGTAATCGATTACATTTTTGGCCAACTCTGCTGGCTAGAGGCTGGTCAACACCTTATTAAACTTGTTACTGTAACTCTGCAGTAAATTATTCAATTGTTCTGAAATTTTAATCAATCACTATTCTGTACATTGTCTTCCTATCCACCAATTTTCGTTTCAATCGGACAACTTCTTCTTGTTGCGTCAATTTTTTTTGTTATAGAGTGTATTTAAGTTCTTATTCTTGTTTACTTGATATTATTGTTTAACTTGGATGGGAACATAGTTTAGTTTAAAATCTTATTAGGATTGCGTTTCACCCTCAGAAATTTTAAGTTTTAAAGGTGACAACAGTATAGTTCAAAGCGCTGAACCTATTTTTTCTGTGTGCGTACTTAAAAAAATGAATATTGAACTGAAATTAATTAGTTTAACTACCTGGTTAACACCGTGAACAAAACCAATAGAATTGTAGGAAGAGAAATAGAAAAATTAATATAAATGGGATCTTTTCGTTTAAAAAGAATATTGAGGAAAATTTTCTCATTCTGCTTTTTAAAAATGCTATGACCAATCTTAACGCACCCAAAGTACAGTATTAAGTTTTTCATTCGAAAGTTACGGTAAAATAATCGGGAGCTGTCTGGTAATCCAATTAACCTTAAAGTTTATGGTATAGAACATATTTTAACTTTTCCGTTTTGAAACTGTTTACATCTATTATGTTAAAAAAACATGAATAGAAAACTATACTGTTATTTAACCGTATATAGCAATCATGGTTATTGAAATCATGGTTTCTATATATGGTTCAATAACCATTAAAAAGAAATTAAACTGGATATTGCAGCTACGATTTTCGTTAGGTACTGGGCATAGGAATCAGGCTGTTTTTCCGAAACCATGGAAAATAGTTTAATTAGCTTATCTGATTATTTAACCAATCGTAACAGATGGAAAATAATAGAGATTTTTTGTGTTAAGCAATATTACAGTTGCTGTCATCTATGTGCGAATGAATGTATAGTATTCAAACAGCCCAGTGTCCCAAATTGGAGATTGCGGGACACTGGAAACTCATCGTGAGTTGAGGGAATGGAGGAAATATTGTGATATCAACACTGAACTCGAACCTACATTCTGACGGTCTTGAGATTGCCCAATTAGCCCTCTCGGCTTTAATACGCATCCAACTGTTAGGAAAAAAGTCGTTTCCTTAAGTAGGCCTAATTGGTTCGATAAAATTATGGCTTTTTTACCATATTTGGTGAACTGTTTTTATCACAATTAACAGATTGAATACTTAATCAATTACTCTTTTCCGTTAAAATATACTTAAATCAATTACTTTTTAATCATTTTTCCCGTTAAATTTCCTACAATGTTACGTACATTAAATAATTCTAATTTTCTTCTCGCTATTGCTACAACTGAAATTACTGACTCGGCAATAATTTTATTATATGTGGAACAAATGATTTTGGACTTACCTACAGATTTCAACATCTGAAGGACGATCGGATAACATTGTCACAAAATTTTCAAAGCAGTGTCGAATTTTTTCTTCGATCACTTGTATACTACACTCATAATCTGCCTGTGTTTCACCTAAAGCTAAATTATAGAAAACAGATTCGAATCAGAAGATGAAATTTTTGATTTTGGAAAATATACTGATGAGTTACTTAAATAGCATCTCTCCTAAATAGCATCATCATCTTCGATCTATAATCAATAATTATACAGGGTGTCCTAGGATTAAGGGGACGAATTTTAAGGAGGAAGAAGACATCAAAAAGATTCAAAACTGCATTGCAACTCATGGTCTGATACGTTGCTTCTGCATTTTTACAACTTCCCAACATTATATTAAAAAATAAAATGTTTTTATTATGAATTGTAAGATATTATTTCGATGGAGATTTTAAGAAATAATGTCATTTTGAGAAAACTAAATGAAGAACTTTATACTTTTAAATAAAATTTCTGATTATGTCGATAAAAGAAAATTATTTTTCATATAATATAGTATAATAATTCCTACAAATTATAATTTATATTATAGCTAAATTTGTAAATTTAATATCCTGTCTCTAAATATTTGATACCACGTGAAGTTTCACTTTTCATCCGAGATTATTATCTATGACAGCATAAATAATAATTTTTTGATTTTTGGAAGAGAAAAATTAATTTAAAACATTAAGAAACTTGCTCAAAAATTTTAAAAAATGAGGTAATGAAAATTGTTATATCTATTTACATAGTAATATATTCGTTTCCATTAAATTTTTGCTTTAGAAAAGTGATTTGAAACATTTTTCAGCGTAATTCTGTTATAAAATAATATTTTAAAATGAATTGCTTCGATACTCTATACATTTTTTTAAATTTTCAGAAAAACATAACAATTTCATTTTCATTGATACTAAAAAGTGTTTGACAGAATTCTTTTCTACTTTTCAATAATAAAATATTTTTTCTTTCAAAATTTATAAGAACTTCCGTATTTAAAATAATAAATTACTTATAAATTATTTTCTCATCTGTATTCATAATAAACTATCATAATACTTTTAATGGTAAAATGAAATGAATTGAGTGATAAAAGCCGTATTCAAAAGAGGAAAAATAAGTTTTTTAAAAGGATTTTAAATTTTTAGATAAAAAAGGACTTTTTGACGAAGGAATGAATTCTTAAAAACTTTATTCCAATGTACAACTTTTTAGATTAGTTTAAACTTTTCTTACCAAAGAGGAAAAGAAACAAAAGAAGTTTTGATGCCATTTCTAAAGGATTGATGCTATTGTAATAATTAAATAATCGTGTTTCCTTTAGATGTTTTTTGTCTCGATTGTGTTGTTATTGCACAGGAAACTCCATCCTCTGTAAGTGGAACATTTTTATCATTTAAAAAACGGATGCAAATGTCATCTACTAATTTTTCAACCAATCAATTAGTTGTTCAAGTCAGTTACGTATTCCTCAAATAAAGAAGAAAGGACTATTTTATGTTTAAAACTTGTCCTTTTTATTAGATAATTCTAATAGTATTTCTGTACAGACAGGATTAAAACATTTATTGCGTTTGATCCATTAAAAAAAAATTTTTACTATACATTTATAATTTTTTCATTGCGTTGAACAATCAGTTTGTTTAGAAAAAGTGAGACTGTTTTAAACTCGATCTAGAAGATAAACAAACTACTGGAACAAACTTTTAGACAAAATCTTTTTCTCTGGTACTTTTTGATGAGAACTAACCCGCAATTTAATTTATTTTCATTTGAAAACCAAAAAGACCTTCTACGGTTGCCCGATTGCAAAAACGTTCTAACACCAGATCCCTATACTATTTCGTGTATTTTACGCCGAAAAAGTAGTGTTCGGTACACAATTTGAAAGCAGTAACCTAATTATTGATTGTCGGATTTAGAATCTGGATAATCTCAATGGAAGGAGTAAAAGAAACTAAGAAAGAAACGATCTACAAAACAGGGTTATCCAGAATGATCCATCCCGTTTTAGAGAACTGTCAATTTCCAAGAATATGAAGTACACAGATGAATGATACTTCTAATGACGCGTAAATTCACCAAGTTTCAGATACTTGAACACTAATGGACAGTGTTTACATAGTTCGAATTATTGTATGCATGAACGCCACTGGTCACCAGGTATGTATTAAAATGGTGAACCAGTTGTGTCCATATTTTTGATTGCATGAATTGTCCATCACAGCACTAGTGATATGTTCCTTCAACGTTGTCGGAATTAGGGCACATAAATTTAAGAAAGAAAAAGTTTATGCACCGTTATGTCAACTTTTAAAGTTTTAAAGTACAAAGTTATACACCAGGGGTGGCGAAGCTTTATGCACCAACGTGCCATTTTTTCAAAAAATTGTTTAATGAGGTCATAGACGTGCCGTTAAATAATTTTGACTTCTTGATTATTGGGAAAATAATAATACTAAATTCTATCAACTTAAAACTCTTTATTTACTAAGAAAAAAAGAACATTTTGCAATGTCTCAGTTATGCGTGCAATTCAACCTAAAGTAACATTAGTGTGACTTGTCTTGTTGCAGATTAGAAGACAAATGACTTATATTAGGTTGTAAGATGCTAGTTTAAGCAGAAATGTTAATGTTTTTTTGCTAGTTATTTATTGTTAGCTTGTTTTTTACAGTTATTGATTTTTTGGCATTAAATTGTTAATTTTTTGAAGGGAAACTTCTAATGCGACTTCCAACAAGGTTGCGTTAAACGTTTAACGCTTGCCTGTGATCCTTGCAGGAGATTTTAATGTGAATTTCTCGTTACCTGAAGCTGAAACTTTATTAACCTTCCTTAAAGACAAATTTGGATTGGATATGATAAATGGTAGGAATGATCCAACAGGGGGAACTACCATTGATGCAGTTTTTGCAAGAAATATTGAGAAAATAGAACTCAAACATTTCGTATCTTATTTTAGTTATCATAATCCCATTGTAAATGTTATAGATTTGGATATTTCTCCACTCGAAAATGATAATTAAAAGATGCGATCAATTGCGAGCAATGTTAATAAAGTTTGTCTTAAAGAAACAATATGATTTCACTAAAAATCAATTTCTACCCCTTTCTATTTCCATTTCCACATTACGAAGTTTCACTTCTTCCGCGAGGAGAGACTCCACGCACTATTTTTTTTTCTGTTAATTTTTTTTTGTTTGTTTGTTTTTGTGAATTTTAATTTACTTGTTAATCTGCTTTATAGTGAACTTTGTGGTCGGTGGCGCGCCGAGAATATTGTGTCGCGTGCCATTGGTTCGCCATCCCTGTTATACACTGATGGAATTTTCGTTTCGGAATTAAGGTAAAATAACTGGTAGCAGACTATTCATCTGATTTACCGTAAAGTTTATGGTTAGGAGCATTTATCTTTACGGTCTAGTATACGATTATACGATTTTGTAACTTTTAAAGTACAAAGTCTGTTGGAATTTTCATTCCGAAATAATGATAAAATTACCAGATAATTAACCAGAAATTTATGGTTAAAAGCATTTTTAACCTTTACGGTTTAGAAACCTTATACAAGTGGTACGGTTAAGAAGACATGAAGGCATACGGTTTTGTTGCCATTTACAACTTGCATAGGTTCTAAACCATAAAAATGAAACTTAAATGGACCTTGGAGCTCTATTGATGTTGAGTCACTTATGCGTGAATGATATTTTCGTTTTCCAGGATGGTTGACAGAATGTAAGCAATAATAAGCTTCCCAAAACTGGAAGAGATTTAAAAAACTTCCGGTGCATCCTTTCGCTTATGTCATGCTTTCAAGACGATATGTGAAGAGAGGCTAAAAAAGCTCCGTGGAAAAATCTAACCCTAACTTTTGTGACCTCAATGCAATTGCAGCTGATATTCTAGGAATGATTTGTGTTTAAATTTGAGCTTACTTTTACCATCCATAAGAGTTTTCTGTGATTTATAAATTCTAACATGTCGTGAGGCTAAAACAAATTTAAGAAAATTAATATCACAACCAAAATAAAGTGTAAGGTTTGAGTGTTATCCCTTATTTGGTTATATTAGTCTAAAACATCGCATTCGGTCATTTTTCACATAGTGTCTACAACATGCTTGTGAAATTTTTTTCGAATTCATTTGTTGTTTGTTTCGTTGAAATTTAAATGTAGAGGATGCGTTAGATTGTAAACACTGATATTGGACACTAATAACTCTAATATAATAATATTGGATGGCTGTTTTACCAACTTAGGCGTAAAAATCAATTTAAAGTAGTAACCCGGATGTCTTATGGTGCATTTTTACCCTTAGTGCCATCTGTGCTTAGCTTTACACGGTCAACCATTCATAGTTGAGAACCGCTTGAAGAGTGCATGACACTGGAAACTCTTCGTGTATTGAAGGAATGAAAAAAATATTCTGGTGTCAACGCTGGGATTTGAAACCCTAATAGGTCATAAGATCGACCGATTAGTCTTCTCAACTAAAGCATGTACCCTGCTGGGTGGAACTAAATAGCTTCATAAGATAGGCCTAATTGTTACGGATAGAATCTCCGGCTGTTAAACAGTTTTAAGTAAAAATTATAAATAAACGTTATTTCACTCTATATCTCTGATGGTTAATTTGCAGTTATTGACTAACATTTATTTTACTTTATCAATGTTTTCGTCGGTTTTCGATGTCGATGGTCTGCCACTGTGCTCATCATCTTCGATTGACTCACGACCACTTTAGAACAGCTCGTGCCTCTGGTAAACGACCGTTTTTTTCAGAGAATCGTTGCCGAAACACTTTTCCAACATTTCCAACGTTCGCGCACCATTAAATCCATTTTTTACGCAAAATTTAATACAAGTTCGTTGTTGCAAATTTAAATCCATTTCTAAACAGAGATAGATGTACTCTCGGCTACGTTACTTTTGCAAATGTCAAGCTATGACGCTAAGATTTAGAGGGAATATCAACAACAGATGTATCAACTTAACCCAAAAAACAAAACTCAAATCGGAACGATGGTAGCGCCACCCAGGGGTTATTCCGGGAACTTTTAGATCATGGTGGTATGTTGTACGTGGCCACTTTATTATGATCACTTAATTTTTTCGGGCACATTTTGCCTTCCATTAATACTTGATTCTTCTTAGTATGATATGGAGGTATTGACCTATATTGGACCTTCTAATATTATGTGACTGGTTGTTGATCTAGACATCGGAACTCTCTTTCAATATTATACCACATCACAGGTTTGAGATCATGGAGATGTGATGATTAACGAAGCAAAATGAAGCTTCAAACAATCTCTTTACAGTCATTATCAGTTATTATCTCTTTACAGTTTACAGGCATTATTTCCAAATTTGATTGTATCCACACCATTGGAAGATGTACTTGATCAGCAGCGGTGTTTAGATACAGTGCTAAGTTTTGACTATCATTTCGTTTTCTATGTTACACTAGCTCTGTAGCGGCAGCACAGTTTACGTTCATTATAAATCAGCCGGTCAGAGTAAAACTTTTGAACAAAAATTAAAGCTCGCCATGCTTTTTATTCGGAATTTAGGGGAAAATTAGCTTCTTTTTTTTAATTCTATCTATAGATACGTCACCTCTATATAAATATATCAATCTCTATATAGATTCATCACCTTCATATCGGCCTATCATCTTCATACAGATACATCACCTCTATATCGAAGCATCACTACTATTACATCACTTCTATATAGATACATCACCGCTTATCCCCTTTTTTATATACATCGCCTTCTCATTTTTTTTATCATTTTTATAAAGATGCATCTCCTCTATATCCATACATCACTTCGATATAAATACCTCCCCTCGACATTGCTGCCTCACTTCTATGTAGATATATTACTTTTATGGAAGTAATATATCGATGCGTCATCTCTACACAGATACATCTCATCCATGCCAATATTTCATCTCTATATAGATACATTACCATTATATCGAAATCACTTCGATATAGGTACATTACTTATATATCGATGCGTCACATTGATATAGATACATTACCTCTTTATCGAAACATTACCACTATATCAAAATATCACTTAAATATTAATACATAATCTCTATACAGCCATATCAACATATTTATTAGGAAACATTACCTTTAAGTTAGTTCCCATCATTAATTTTGATCAGGTATTTTTTTATTTTTTTTTTATTTATTCAATTTTTTTATTTATTCAATTTTTTATTAACTCTGAACTGCCCTTTCTTTTTTTGGCATCATCAAAACTCATAAAAAAGGTGAAGTTAAAATTTTTCTTGAATTTTGGAATACTCTTAATAACAGTTTATAAGAGAGTTTTTCACACACAAT